TAGGGAGGAGGAGACAGGCATAGGCAAGGACACGCCCAACCTGGGGTGCGTCCAAGTGTGCCGCTTCGGCGGCAGACGGGGGTGTGTGGGCACTTGGCGCTGAACCACACAAACGTGGCCAACCTTTCATTTCTATTATACTGTCTATCTATACTTTTTCGTTATGGATGGTTTGTTATGATTTGTGGAGGAAATGAGAGAGAGAATTTGGGGTGCTTTAACAACACACATTCCAGTCGTGCTAGCTTTCTGTCTTGGCAGATTTGAGAGGTTAGGATCGGGCTCGCACTAGTGAGCTACTGGTTGGATGTGTTTTGCTGGCTTGCTTTTTTATTTTTATGCATGGCCTAATTAGGCTCAGAGAGCGTTTGCTGTGGGTGTCATTCCCGCGGGCTATTCTTTCGGAGCACATGGAAGAATGGGGTAGCTTCTAGGGTGTTTTAAGCAGTAGCGCTCCTGGTGTCGCGTTGAGATCTTGTGGAATTTGGCATAGTACTCGCAGTGGCCTCGGTGCAGCACTAGGATATCATCTGATTCTGCAGGTTGTGTGGCAGGGGGAGGTTCATGGCACTTTTGGTGTTGCGTAGGTGTATTTTTGATTTGTGGTGGCGTTGTAGGCCGTTGCAGAGGACTCTTTTTTTTTTTTTAGACTATTGGCATGTGTGGTCGGTGCATTTTTGTTAGTGGAGCCTTTTGTGTTATGCTGTTTTGTGGATTTGTGGGCTGACGCGGAGGGCTCTCCAAGTTTTTTCGGACCTATGGCATTTGGGGTCGGTGCTTTCTTGCTGGTGGAGTCCTCTGTCTTAGGTAAGTTGCTTCTCGCCCTCCACCCTTTTGTAGATCAAATAAATACATGGATATATGTATATGTGCAAGTTTGCCGCTTTGGCGGCAGACGGGTTTGTGGGCTCTTGGCGCTGAACCACACAAACGTGGCCAACTTTGCCTTTTCTATTATATTGTCTATCTATGTTTGCTATGAATTGTTGAGGACCTGAGAGAGAGAGAATTTGGGGTGCTTTAACAACACACACACACAGATTTTGCCACAGTAGTTTCATGAGGAGGCTCAGAGAGTGTTTCTGTGGGTGTCATTCCCATGGGCTGCTTTTTTGTAGCACATGGAAGAAACGGGGGCTTCTAGGGTGTTTCAAGCAGTAGTGCTCCTGGTGTCACATGAAGATCTTGTGGAGTTTGGGATTATGGCACTGTATACATTCCAGGACTAGAAAGCAAAGTGAAATGGAGGATGTCTAGCCATGGAGTGATAGAGATGTGGTAACATGAGTGGGTCGTGTGGGATGAATAACAGTGCCAATGCTGTTGTGTTTGTGTAATTAATTTTGTATGGTTTTGTGGGCTGACTCTGAGGGTTCGCCAAGTTTTTCCGGACATTTGGGAGATTGGGTCGGTTCTTTCTTGCTGGTGGAGTCTTCTGTTTTAGTTTGTGGTTTTGTGGACCGATGCGGAGGGCTCTCCAAGTGTTTTTGGACCTAGAGCAGGGGGGGGTCGGTGCTTTCTTGCTGGTGGAGTCTTCTGTCTTAGGTAAGTTGCCTTTGCCCTCCCATACCTTAATGGATGATGAAAATATATATGTATATATCGTCAAACAGAGCTTCCCGGTAAACCGTAGGCAGAGAGGGAGAAGAGGACAACAAACGAGTGGCTGTGACAAACTGTTTCGTCGGAGTTCACAGACTCAGCAGGAGGCTGTGCCACTTCGGCCGCAGACGGGTGTGTGGGCACTTGGCGCTGAACCACACAAACGCGGCCAGCCTTGCATCTTCTACTATACTGTTTCTCTATTTTTTTTTGTTTTATGGACACTTCGTGATGATTCTTGGATGGAATGAGAGAGAGAGTTTCTCGTGTTTTTTCTAAAACACACACACACACACACACAAACATGGCCTTGCTAAGCTCTTTGTTCAGGCGGGTCGATGCAGCTAGGGTCGGGACTGTACTAGCGGTCATGCCATTGGGTATCCATGTGGAGTTGTGTATAGCGAACATGACAACACACAACATGGCCTTCCTAAGCTCTCCGTTCGGGTCGAAGGATGCAGCTAGGGTTGGGACCGGACTAGTGGTCATGCCATTGGGGTATCCATGGCTGAGTGGATGTAGCTAGGTTTTATGCCTGTGTTAGACTAGTTTCTCAGACATACTGCCATTCTTGTCAGGGGTTTGGACAGATAGCCTGCTAGGATTGCAGGGCTGGGTGTGAGTAAAGTCGGCCACTTTTCTCAGGGGTATCACTAACTCTGGGGTGGCGTGGTAACTCCCTTATCCATCTCTGGGCAGACTTTCGGGGTTCAACCTCCTGATGAGTTCGGTGAAAGTCCGACGAAACAGTGTGGCACAGTCATGCTTTTTTTTGTGGAGTTGTGTATAGCGAACATGACAACACGCACACAGATGGAGAGAGAGAGAGAGAGAGAGAGAGAGAGAGAGAGAGATCTCTTATACACATCTAGATGTGTATAAGAGACAGGCCCCAATTGGGTGGGAAGTCTCATCCAACAAGGCTAAATACATGCGAGGGACCGATAGTGAAGAAGTACCGGGAGGGAAGGGTGAAAATAACTTTGCGGGGTTAGAGAATTACCTGTTGGCTGGTGCGTTGCTCATCCTATCGATGGTAACTCTCTCTCTCTCTCTCTCTCTCTCTCTCTCTCTCTCTCTCTCTCTCTCTCTCTCTCTCTCTCTCTTCCTCTCTTNAGAGAGAGAGAGAGAGAGAGAGAGAGAGAGAGAGAGAGAGAGAGAGAGAGAGAGAGAGAGAGAGAGAGAGAGAGCTAGATTTCCTTCGGAAAGGTAAGTACATGATTAACATAGGGAAAAGTGAGTTTGGTCGTACAGAGATACTGTACTTTGGTCATGAAATCTCTGAGGATGGGTTGAGGCCAGTGGAGGTAGCGGCCGCAGCCTTGGTCTGTGATTAGGTAAGATCTTTCTTGGGGATGGCTGGATACTAGAGATTCTTACTTC